GTGGTCCAAGCTATGTGGTGTAAGCTGTGGGGTGGAAGCTGTGCGGTAAGCCATGCCGTGTAAGCGCGGCGGCCACGGGCGGCAACGTGTCGAAACCTCGGCCCACGCCCCAAAGTGGGCGGCCAGGAGGCGGCCACGGGCGACAGCGTGGCGAAACCTCAGCCACCCCAACCACCTTCATAAACCCACAGGTGAGAACCCCCACGTACAAACACTGCCCTTGAAACAAGAACCACGAAGGTGGACAATCCCAAAGTCGACCCATGATTCACCGGAGGATTAAGCCAGATTGAGCGGGATTAGCAAGGAGTTTGCTGGCCTTCGGGCACGGATCTACCAGCGCCACCGCTGAATTCAACCTCCCATGCATTGTATCCAACAACAAACGTTACAAACATCAACTTTCGGAGGTCTGCGTGGATTTCCTGCATCGGCGCTGGAGCCCCTCCCTGGCGCGCCAGGGGCGGCGCCAGAGGCGCTGCCCCCCCGGGGGGGGCCCGCAGCCGATCCAGGAAGTCCGCGCGGAGCTCCAGCAGCCTACGCTAGTACAGTTTCTTGGTGGCGCACACAAGAGGGTGGCGAGGAGGAGAAGGGGGAGGGGGAGGGAGAGGGGAGGCGGAGGAGGAGGAGGAGGAGGAGGAGGAGGAGGCGGAGGAGGAGTGCAGGCAGGAGGAGAGGAGGAGGAGGAGGAGGAGGCGGAGGAGGAGGAGGAGGAGGAGGAGGAGGAGGAGGAGGAGGAGGAGGAGGAGGAGGAGGAGGAGGAGGAGGCGGAGGGGGAGGGAGGAGGAGGAGAGGAGAGAGGAGGAGGAGGAGGGGAGCGAGGAGGAGGAGGAGGAGAGGAGGAGGAGGATGATGAGGAGGAGGAGGAGGAGGGGGGGGAGAGGAAGGTAGGAGGAGAGGAGGGATGAGGAGGAGGAGGAGGAGGGATGAGGGTGGCGGGAGGGGGGTAGGCTTCTTAGAAGGAGGCTGCTTCTTTGAAGGCGCGGGCCTTGCATCTGCAGACGAGGCCCGCGCCTTCTAAGAAGCAGAGGTGCTCCT